AATAAGATTCTTTCTTGGATCAGTGATTTCATAACGTAAAATTCAAAACAAGACAAATACATAAAGTGGCAGTTGAGGACAGCAGTTGTATTACTCCTCAAATTACACATTACTTTTTCCTATGTAAATTCCTAACCTGCCTTCTCCAAAGGCCCTCCTGTCAACTGAACACACATTTCTCAGCCTAACACCCTTCAAAAGCAATTTAAAAATGTGCACCTATTTTTGTAAAATTTATCACATATCAACCTCAAATCACACATCAAAATTATTTTTTTGCTAATATTTCAACTATCTGTTTGACAATACTCATTATCACACACCAACAGGTATCTCCCATGTGGTTTATGAGTAGTATCCTCAGCTACTTGTGTTCGTTTTGTTATGTGAAGTGATAATTTAGCAACCTCAGCTTGCTTATTAATGTCTCTCCTAAAATGACACCCAGTTCATCTAGTCTCCCTAATTTTTTTATGAATGGATTTACAGCTTGGTTCTTTCTGCAGCTGAATAAGCACCTGACAGAAACACTCAACTGAGCATTCATGTACATGTTCTGAAGTGGTCAGTGAAATCTTGAGGACAGACTCCAAGAGCCTGAAATAGCCAAGAGCTAGCAGGAAACAAAACAAAGCTTTAATACCCCCAAACGCCACAAGAGACCTCATAGTAAAGAAATCTTTACAGTACTAGCTAAATGGAAGCAACATGAGATAGCAATCTTCTTCTGAGATCACCTAAATTTAATATAAATTTGGAATGAGGCTTAGGGGGACTTACAGTGCTTGATTTGCAAATGGAATTAAATTCCACATACTTTTTCAGAGGAATAAAAATAATACAGACACGGCATCCAATCACTAGTGGCATTCCATAGGGCTCCATCCTTAGCCCAGTTCTCTTCAACATCTTCATTAACAACTTGGATTCAAAGGAATACTAAGTAAGTTTGTGGCAACACTCGGGAGGAGCTGCTGACTTCCTCAAGGGCAGACAGGCCTTGACAAATTGGTGAGATGGGCAACCATCAGCCACATGAGGTTTAACAAGGTCAAGTGCTGGGTTCTGCACCAGGCATGGAGCAACCCTGGTTTTGTCTCTAGATCTGGAACAAGAGGCTGGAGAGCAGCACTGAAGGAAGGGACCTGGGAGTTCTGGACAACAGCAACTTGAAGAGTCATTAAGCTATTAGAGAGCATCCAAAGGAGGGTCACAGGGGTGGTGAAGGGTCCTGATGGGAAGCCACATGGGGAGCAGCAGAGGTCTGCTTGGTCTGTTCAGCCTGGACGAGACTGAGGGGAGACCTCATTGCAGTCTTACAACTTCTTACGAAGGAGTGCAGGTACAGATCTCTTCACTCTCGTGACCACTGACAGGACTCAAGGAAATGGCATGAAGCTGCATCGAGGAAGGTTTAGGTTTGATATCAGGAAAAAAGGTTTTCCTTGCATAGGAACATGCTCCCCAGGGAAGAAGTCATAGCACCAAGCCTGACAGAGTTCAGGACAAATTTGGACAACACTCTCAGGCACACATGGTGTGACTCTTGGGAGTGTCCTGCAAAGGGCCAGGAGTTGGACTCTATGATCCTCATGGGTCTCTTCCAATTCTGCATATTCCACGATTCAATGACTAAGATCTATGGAATTACCTCTTCCCAAGCTCAACTATAAACATACATTACTTTTATGATTACAGATATGTCTTACCTTAAATATATCTGTTTTAAAGCTATAAATTCAGGTATTTATGTGGTTGCAAAAATCTTAAGATTCAGATTAGCAACAGGAATGACAATTCAAGAATTGACAATTCAACTAAGAGCAATACACTAACATAAAAATAAATTTTCATTATGATTTCACTCTAAATAACTGGCCTTGCAATTTTTCAATTTTTTTTTCTATTTTTACAAAAGTACTAGTTACCAGACTATACTGCCTGAGAATAGAATATGACTTTGTTTCATACTTAAGCATTACCCAGTGAATTAAAACCTACTGTTTTTATGTAAAAGCAGCAATATTATGAGACTCCCTTAGAGATACAAATACTGGTGTATCAGATAATATCTATGCTCTTGTACAATAAAGCAGGAATTCAACACTGCTTTCATTGTATTACCACCACGGCAGTGTTGCAGCATTTCTGAAATTATACTTTTGTCCACGTCACTATGTCAACAGACATGCCAGTCTGCTTAAACAGCTAAAATTGAATGAAATGGCTCAACCAGCTCACTTCACCTTTTGCTACTGTAATCAGAATTTTAGTCTTTATGTCACAAAATAACAGAATATAACAGGCAGATCTTTGGGTTTAAACAAAATTTTGATTCCTCATCTTTTAAGCTCTTGTTATGCAAAGATGTAGGACATCATGACAGAATTTGCATAACCTTACCAAATACAACAAGATTTCTTCCTCAAAAGACATGAAGAAGTTGTCAAATGTTATTGTTGTTGTCAGCACAGTCCATTCTAGAAGCTGATCCTTCCATTACTTTTAATTAGAAGTCTGGCTTTTTCCTCCCCCAGCCACAAGCCACTTTCATTTTATAGACTGTACCAGTAAACCTTTACAAATTAATTGTTGAGTACTGGCTTACATAAAAGCCTTCAGAGGTAACACTGCCAATCCCTGTCATTCACACACCTCCCTGAGTGCAGTATCTCCACAAGATGGGGCAGAAAGCACAGGTGGGTGCCTTCAGGACCACTGTCCTTAGCTGCTGGTGGACATAAGGATACAGCAGTGCCAGACGTTTGGCTTTCTGAACATCTGCATAAGGCACTGCAACATACCAATCACACCCCCTTGACTCAGCAGGTGACATTCGGAGTCTGTTCTGACCCTGACTCCCAATTACCAGCACAGCTTGGGCACACAGCTATAAACACCAAGAGTGGTGCAAAGTTAATCATGCTGGAGGTGGAGCAGCCAATACAGCCATAACAGGATGCTACCATGGAGGCAACAAGGCAAGTGAGCACCTTTCCTGGAGGCCAGGCACACACATTAAACCAGTGAGAAAGGGTTACTCCCACCCAGACCAACTCGAGTGAAGAAAAATCACACTGCCTGTAAGCCAAACAATAAGGACATCCCATTGTCTTAGACAGTATGCTAGAAGTTGTTTTCACTATTTCTTTTTCCTCAAAGAAAATGTCGGTGTAGATGTAAGTGATTACACTTGGTTTTAAATTTCAGCTCCCAAGAAATAGCCTGAGAATCACTGACCGAGTACTTCTGACAATGACTGCTTAGGTGCAACGCCTTTGAAGAGACAGAATTACATTTGCCTGCTTTTCTAAAAAGGGAAAAAAAGCCCAAAACAATGCAGAGATGCAGTAAGAAGCTCATGAAGCTTAATAACAAACATTACTGAAGGTACAAAACATTAAAAAAAAAAAAGTTCAAAAAGGAAATAAAGAGGATGGACAAGGAACACTGCTTTTGCAGACTCTAGTGAATTGTTTTCTCTAACGAAGACAAATTAGAAACACTTCTATTATGCAAACTGACATTAAAGTTTATGGTTGGGGAAGCCAGGGATTTCCTACTGTATTCCTAATAGCTGGACAACTAAACTACTTCACTGTTTACTTTATGATGCCACATTCATGATATGGCATAGCCTAAACATTTTCTTAAAAGAAAATAAGCCTTAATGAGTTAACCACACGCATGCACAAAAATCCTGCTACCTGCCAACAACCTCAGGCTCTACATTTTTTAATCATGAAATAGTTACTCCTGCCATTACATAAATATTATTACATAATATCTCCTTTGTATGCAGAATTAGAGCTACAATAAAATAGGTCCCACTATTTCAATATTGTATCTATTAATCCCACTCATTCACCTAATAATTTGAGCTGTAGTTGCATCAGACCACAACAGCTTGAATATGTCACGTTCCTCTGTGCTTAAACAGAGAAGACAGTTAATTCTGGATTAAAAAAAAAAAAAAAAAAAAAAAAAAAAAAGAAAACCAAAAAACAAGACAGCAAAAAATACAGCAAAAATAGCTGCTCTACTACAATAACTGCCTGAAGGGAAAGACACCTCTGCTGTGCTCTTTTATTACACGCTTTTTGTCTTGCCTAAGATTTAATGTATGTGCATGAATAGATAATTTTCAACATGCCAGTCAATAAAATATGCAGAAATACCTTAATTCCCGAGGTCAGCATTACACAGCATAAGTGTAAAGACATGACAAGCAATGATGCTTACTATGTCGAGTATCTCAAAAGCCAGGGTTTTTTCCAATTTAATATTTAACATATGAGCAAACTACAACACATATTAAATTAATTTTCCTAAGTATTTAATCTGTTAGAAATTTTGTTCCGACAACGTATTTGTTGGTATTGGTCAGAAGCACATCTGAGACGTGGGACGGCTGTAAGCACCAGGCCACAGGGCCAAGAGGCAGCGAAGAAGCGGCATGTGACATTCGGGAGTCTCGGGGGGCAACATGTGGCCGGCGCTCAGGACGCTGCTCCTCTCTGCAGTGCAGCACCGCTGCCTCCGGCCGTGCGCGATCCGCGCCGCGAGCCCCCACTTCCCAAGTGCCGCACAAGTCCCACTTGCCCCGCGCTCAGCGCCGTCCCCCCGTCCCTCCCGCAGCAGGAGCGCCCGGGAAGGGCAGGAGAGCGGCGGCGGGCACCGGGAGCGAGGGCGGCACGGGCCGGCCCCGGTGTTGGCACAGCTGCGCCGCTCTCCCGGGGCAGCCCCGCACAAAGCCCCGGCGGCCTCGCAGCCCCCACCCGGGGCAGGTCCCCGCTGCTGGCCGCTGCCCTGCCGTCCCCGCCGGCAGGTGAGAGCGCCGCAGCGGCGGCGCCGGGCGCGGAAGGGGGGGCGCGACCCAGCCACAAAGAGCGGGAGCGGGGTGGGCGGCGGCGGGGCCGGCGCCAGCGCGACCCGCGGCGCCGCAGCGGGGGCACGTCCCCGCCCGCCCGTCGGTGGCGGCGGCGGGGGTCGTGCCTTACCTGCAGGGGTGGCGCCGAAGACTCTCACCACGGGCACCCGTTTGGCCGGGGCCTCTCGGAAGCGGGACTGGCAGGGGTCCAGGCCGGGCAGCGGGCTGCCCATGTAGTAGTCGGCAGTCACGATCCGCACTGAGAACATGTTTGTTCGCCGCCGCCGAGGCACCAGCACGGCACCGAGCGAGCGAGCGCGGAGCGAGCGCGGAGCCCGCACGGCTCCCCCCGCCCGCGCCCCTCAGGGACAGCGCGGGCTCGTGCCCCCCGGACGCCCCGGCGGCGGCGACGGCGGCGCCCCGGCCCCGGGCTGCAGCTGCTGTTGCCATGATGATGTCGTCACGGATGCAACCATTGCGGGAACGGGGAGGGGGGTGGATGGGCCATGTGTTGGGGGGGAAAGGGGCTCAGGGAGCGGAGGAGGTGTCCGTCACTCCCCGACACACACACGCGCTCCCCCCCCCAACTTTCGCTTGGGCTCGGCAGGCTGGGCGCGAGCGCGCGTGGGAGCGGGGGGGAAATCGTTCTATCGCCTCCCCTGGTGGCGAGGGCGGAGGCAGGGAGGGAGAGAGGGACGGCCTCGGTGATTCGGCGATCGGCCGCGCGGGCTGGGGGTGAGGCTGCGGAATCCCGAGCCGCGGATGGGGCGGGAGAGGCAGCGCTGCCGGGACACGACGGGGTTAAGCTGGGTCGACCGCCATTTTGAATGGCGGCGAGGTGAGTCTCCCCACTCCGCAGGGGCCAGCCAAAAAAAAAAAACCCAAACGCTAAGAAGATGGGTGCGAGGAGAGGGGCGGGAGCGGGAGGAGGAGGTGGGGCGGGCGCGCTCCCGCCGGCGCCCGCGCGCCCTCGGTCTGTGACGGTGAGCGCGCGCGGCGCGGGAGAGGGGCGGGGCCGGCGCTGCGGAGGAACGGCGGGGGCGGGGTCGCGGCCCCGGGTCCCTGAGGGCGGCTCGGCCCCGCGTCCCCCCGCTCCTGCTGCCCCTGCTCCTCCTCCTCAGCCCTTCAGGAGAGCTTGCTTTGCGGTTTGCAGCGCTCTCCTGCAGGTTTTTATCGAAAGCCATAAAACAGGCTTGACTTTAGGCTGAGGCACTGAAAAAACCTCGAGTTTAGGTTTGAGGTTCCTGTTGCAGTCTCTTTGTTTGAGAGATGCGGGGGTGAAAACCCCAAAACGCAGCAAATGCCCGAAGAGCTGGCGGTGTGGGAGACGAGGCCAAATGCTCTCACACGCACTCGCAGCGATGCTGACACATGTGCGTGCAGGGCTGGGTGATACGAGACAAATGCACGGATCTATAAAACCTGACAAACGTCCAGTATGTACAACACATGTTTCGCATTTCGCTTACATGTGTTTCGGGTTTAGATTTGAACAAAAGACAGGTCAGGCAGTTGCTACCCTTCATTTTTTCATTGTAATGAACAGGAAGCTTGCCTGTCTACTCAGGGGTAACTGATTTCCTACTCTTTCTTTGTAAGCTGTTTATTTTCTCTAGCTCACATCTGTTTTCCTCCTTAAACTCATTTTTATGTGAACAGAAAAAGAAAATCTAACTACCTAGTCATCAAGAAATCTTGTGTCACAGAAGTGGTTGAAATAGGGTTGAAATCCAAACTATTTTCATTGTATCTAAAGAGTAACTGAACTACAACTTTAATTTTTGACAGTTGTTTACATTTGCAAAGCTAATATTTGGAAAACCTTTGGAACTGCAAAAAATACTCTTATGAATACTTAGATTTCACAAAGGCTAATAAATCACTAGGAGCTTACTGGTGAGGCTTGTTAACAAACAGCACCTCTGGCTATTGTTATTTGAATACATTTTGTACTGCTCCCTCACTAATCCATTTCTTTAATTTTCCATAGAACTTTGGTGTGGACAGTAACAGTTCTTGTGTTACTCCATTCCATGCTCTGTTTTCTTTCTGTTCACATGATCTGAACTTGCTGAGCATTGTGTCTTCCCATCACTGTGTATTTCACTGACGGTTTAATGTCTGTGAGCACTGGCAGATGTGGTCTGGTGCCTGCATCAGCTGAAGGTAGGTCAGCAGTCCTGCTCTGTGCTGGGGAGTCCCAGTCCACTGCTGTGTTCTGTTGTCATCTGCACAGACAGGTGAACATGATGTTGTATCTGCCCCTCAGCTGGGTTGGTGAATAAACCAAGACATTTGAGCCACTGGTGGATTCTGGTTTCTCCAGAATGAGTGTGGTGTGTGAGATGTAGCACAAGTTCATACCTGGGAGTCCTGCTGAAGAGAAACCAGTTGCCCACAGTAGAATAGTGTAGAAAGCTGAAATAACTAACTTCTTGGAAGCATAAAGCAGGATTTGCTAAAGCATGTAATGCAGAGTATTCTGTTTAAAATGACAACATTTTTAGTGTTTATAAAATCAGGGAGAGCCATGCTTTGAAATCAGAAAGAACAACTGATACCTAACCTAGAGCCAGTTTCCTGTTCATATGAGGTATTAATTTGATTTCTGAAAATGTGGAATGTTACTCTCAGAAAAAAAAAAAAAAAGAAAGTGATTTTCCTTTTTGGTGTAAATAGTGTAATCCACGTGTACATTAAACCCGTGCAGACACTTTTGTGGAACTTGCATGCTTTCTGAGTGCTGCCTTTTCAGTTTCCAGTAGTTTCCTGCAGCTCACTTCTGCTTTCAGTTTTGTCTTGCAGTCGAGTCAGTAGGTTTGTCTGCAGGGCTGCACCTAGGTAAGACTGAGTCAGCACTGTCACAGGAGGTCCCCTGCTCTCCTCCTCATGTCAGTGCGAGCATTTGAATAGCTGCACAAGAAACTTGACTTGGAAACTGAGCAGGTAAAAGCGATCCCACTAAGAAATATGGGTTAGTTTTAACCTCCATCAGGTCTTTGATCTGTTTCATTATGTAGGGGTGTGAAAGGCTGTGTTTGCACGGAGGAGGAGGCAGTGCAGGGCTGAAATTGAGCAGCAGGAAGAAAGAGAGCACTTATTCCAGAAAGCTTGGCTTTTGGTAGTTTTAAGTTGCTGCAGTCTGAAAATCAGTTTAACCCTTTCAACAGATGACAGACACCAAACCTGTTTCTGGATTTCCTACATTTCAATTTGTGTGTCAGTATTTGCTTTTAGGAGTTGTTTTATGTGTTGTTCACTCACATGTGTGTATGCATGTATGATATATTGATTTTCTTGTAGTTTACACTTCATTACCTGAAAATGCTGCTGTCCTAGGGAGTCAGTAATTGTAAAAGGAAATATCCTGGTCAGACAGCACTACCACTCATTTCCTCTGGTAACTCCAAATACTACATGTTCTCTCTCTTAAGGCTTCATGCCATTTTCTGTTATAAAGCAAGTCACCCCCTTTCTCTGTTCCTCCAGTTGCTAAGCAGCAGCTGTTCTCCCCATTAGCCAGCCAAGTATTTGCATGAAAATAATCACTCTTGAATATATAACTGGTCCTAATCATGCACAGCTAAACAGCTGTACAATCAAAATTTGAGTATTAATAGTATTACTTATCAGCATAACTGATTACTGTCTTTTAAGTCAGAATTTCTTCATGGAGTAAAAACAATAAAGGTTTGCCCTGTGTTTTTAAACAAAAGGCATGTCAGGTTTTTTTTTTCTGTTTAATGCTTACTGTGTAGCTACTTTAAAAAAACCTGGTCACAAAATGATAAATGCAGTTCACAAGAAATTATAAATGTAAATATAGCAGAAACAGAATCATCTAGTGACTATACATGATGGAAGCCAAGGGAAAATCCACATTTTGCTACTATTTATAGTAGCAGAGTGCAACAAAATTTGGTGATAAGAGTTTAGACTATGACACAAAGGTAGAATTTCCAGCAGTACATCTTAACTTCAAAACCCACTTAGTCAGCCATATTTGAGTTCCTATTGATTTCAAGGATGTTCAGTATTTCTGAGGTCTGTGATCTGGAATCTTGGAGTGCTCTCTCACTCAAGGGATTTATCCAAACTGTTATTTCAGAATGAGAGCTGAGTGTGGCTCATATTCTTGGGTGCTGTTTCTGCAGGTGACAAACTCAGTTTCTGCAGGGAGAAGGCCTGGACACATGGATAAAGCGTTATATGCAGCCCATCCAGTTGCTATCCCAACCTAGACAGTCAGACTGTCTGCATTACACAGGAAGGTTATTTCCCCCAGTGTGGCCTCACTGACTGAGTGAGTGAAGAAGATCTGAATCTTCACACTGAAATACGTGGTGCTGTGCTGTATGGTTCTGGCCTGCCAAATGTCATGTGTGACAGTCCATAGTCTTGTTAGACTCTAAGGCTCCATACACACTCAGTGCAAGAAGTCCTCACATGGGGGTTCTGACCAGCCTTGCTTATACCCCAGGTAGTTAAGCCCACTAAAGCCAGAATTTTAAGCAATACCATGCATGTGCATCAGACCAGCTGAAAGACAATTACTCTCTGGATGTTATCAGATAAAAATCTAAAGACAGTATCTGAACAGCAAGGAATTGAGCAACCTGTGCATACCAAACTGCCTCAAAGTGGCTCTTAGACTGCTGAATTAATTTCTAGGGGTAAGAGAAAGAAAGAATGCTTAAGATCCTAATTAATTAGATGTATTTATTTGTTTGTTTTAATTCTCAGTTACTAGCTACAGGCTAGGCAGTAGGCTCTGAGGTGTAGTCAGTGCCATCAGTGTCTTGTCACTAGAAACCTGATGGGAAAATGAAACTAGGTCTCAACTATGAAAATATTAGAAGTATCAAAAAGTTTTTTGGCAAAGACTCTTAATAAACCTGTCAGAGCAAGAACAGTGCCACGTGGCTGGGAAGTCACAAATGTGCTTGAAGGAGAGCCCATGGGCATTGTATAGGACATAGGAAACGATAATATAGGCTATGCAAAGGCATGGAAGTAAAAAAAAAAGAGATATATCTTTGGTGTAGTAACATTAGATTTTGTTGGGGTAAAGGTGTATTTTTTAAAATAAAATATCTATTTGACAAAATTAAGTCCATTTCACAAAATCATCAAGGCTGAAAGAGACCTTCAAGATCAGCTAGTCCAACTGTCATCCAAGCACCACCGTAATCACATTTAATCTGAGCTTCATATAAAGATTCAGTATTGTGTCATATGAGAAAAGAAGGAAGATGCATAACGTAAAGAA